TCTACCATTTTGTGGGGATTAGATGGGATAAATGACTTTCCATGTTGGGGGGATTAGGAGGGATTAGTTATGAGGTGTTATTATCCAACTATTTTGTGGGGATTAGATGGGATAAATTTTATTTATGAGTAATCTATCTTCTACCTTCAACTTGGCCCAAAAAAATTCATTTCTTTCTCAAATATGCTTTAAATATAGAGAATATCCAATTCAATCCAATCCAATTCTAATTATCAAATAGGGCCTAAATGCTTAAATTATAGTGCCGCATGCAGACACTATTAACCAAATTTCATTTTGTCAATAGGTTATTGGATTTCCTTGTTTGGGCTTAGCCCTGGTATAGACGAAATGCACTTGGGCTTGAAATGAAACGTCATCAGAATTTCACCCATTTCTCTCTACAAATGAGACCCAGTTTTAAAGCCTTCCCGTGATATGGCCTTTCTTTACCTTTGTTCTGTACACACGTGGCAATTTTAATTGCATTTTTTTCTCTCTCCGTTTAAAAAAAAATTGTTTAGGGTATCAGACTTTCACAGCATGTTTCTCATCCTTCGTGAGAGTAGGAAAGCCACGGGAAATTGAGTAACGCTCACCGGATTGAAAATTTGTTCGGATACTCACTGGCAGCAGCCTACCCCTTTACGAAGTAGCCATGGATTTTCATTTTTTCTGTTGAATGTTGTTTGCTTTGGCTGGCATGTTTTGGTTGTTTAATGGAATTCCTTGTGGTCCAAGAAAAAGAAAGAACCAAAACAAAAAAAAAAAAAAAAAAAAAATCCTATTAATTCATCAGCGTCTTCTTTGTTGTTGTCTTCATCTTCTTTTCTTCCCTGAATTTGTTGTTATTGAAATTTGGGGATTTTTTTTTCGTGAAGTATCAATTAGGGATTTGCAATTGAGTATTTTGAATTATCAATTAGGATTTGCTATTAATTTTGGTGTTCATGCTTGATTGCATTATCAAATAGGATTTTCAATTGATTTTGTTGTTCTTGCTTATATAAATAATGAATTATCAATTAGGGATTTGATGAATTAATTAACTGCTGATATATTGTTGTCTTCTATATATTATTCAATAGGTGTATTTTTTTGTTATCAATGAAATTTTCTTCTTTCCTTTTAGGTTTTGTACGTACGTCAATTTAGCCAACCCCAATTATATCTACAATTATGATTTGTAGTGGTGGAATCGATGACTTAGGGCTTTTATATAATTGAATATTTTGTTTAATCTTTATGCTTAACTGATTCTTAGTTTATTTTAGTTAAATTGAAAGCAATTAATCTCTGTTGAATGAGTGAAGATAATTTTGGAATTAGGTTGTTCTAATCAATTTTTTTGTGGGTACAATCTCGTTCCTATAGGTGTCTATACTTCAATAGATTCATGGGATTTACGAATTTAATTTGATTTAAATTAATCTACTATAAGAATCTGTCATAAAAAATAGACATTACTTTCACTGTTTCATAACAAAGCAAAAAAGACAAACAAGTTTGATTATTTTTGGATAGTGAACTGAGCGGCTCCCAATCAAAGCTTTTATGCAGGACCAAGGCAACTACTTTTTTTTTTCATACCTTTCCGGCTTTCAATTGCCTTGTACATTTAAAACTTCGGTTGCGTTTCTCTTCTTCCAAATGAAAAAGTTTTCTGCCTGCTCGAAAGTTAAAGGCAGATATACCTAAAATCTCACCGTTTTTAGCACCCTACTTTGAATCTTAATACTTTGAAGTTCCCAAGTTGTTCACCATGGAGATGGAGGTAGGCAAGATGGAGTTCTCTTCTTTCTTAAACAGAATAAAGCTAGCCCTACCTCGCATTTCATTCAACGAAGATATCACCTTGGCATTGCGATGTCCACAATATATTGAAATTAATATCGAAGGTCAGTTTTAATAGATAACGTATTAGTGGAGTTGTAGGGTTTGCAAATCACTTCAAATAGGCAGTTGCTATTGATCACCAGTATTTGCATAAAGAACACATGCGTATATGTGTGAGAAAGAGACCTTAGATATCGGGGACTTGGCTTTTAGCATGTTAGTTCTCAACGTTAAGTACCATAGATTACCATATCTGTATAGACATAGTACTATACCTTTTAGAACATGTACATATATTTTTTTTTTCAACGATCCAATCCCTAAACCCTTAACTGACGCTCTCTTCCTTTTTTATGAATAGTATTTAAAGGGATGCTATCATTGGGCTCACTCCAAGATATGACTCAATGAGTGAAACTATTTAGTTTTTAGAAACTCGTTTAAGAATCATTCATGTAAATAAAATAAAACTTCGAAATTCGAAATTGTTTGATCATTTGATTATTATAATGACCATTTTATTGTTTATTACAAACATTTGTAACTTAATTAACAGTTAAATTATTATTTCTTTTCTCGTTAATTTTTTTAGGGGTGATTTTTGAATGTGATCTTAAAAATTGAGTGCTTCAGATTATTGAATTGCATTCATAGTTGGGACCACATGCCTACATTTTTTGTGAATAGTAAGAAGGTATCCTCTTGATGATAAAATTTCTCATATAGGAAATTTGAAAACATAAGGTATCATCTTAGTTATGTTTTATGCACATAGGCATATATATAATATCCACAGTATGTCTTAAGAACATACAATAAAATCATCTTATTACTTGAAAGTGTAGTGACATAACGTTTTTCTCTATCTTTGTATGACAAATTTTTTTTTTTTTTTTTGTTACAATATTGTTTTTATTATTAGATAAGTCAGGGACTTTATTTTCTCTGCTACTTCTATGAATGGAATTCATTAACTACTTTAGAAACTAGGTAGGATTTCCATTTACTTAAGATTTCGGCTCATGATTAGATCTCAAGTAGCCTAAGAACATACACTAAAATTGTTGCCCACTAAACCCTGAGTTACTACAAAAGATCATGCATGCTCATATGTACCAAAAATGATTAAAGAAAAAATTCACATGAAATAAAAAGAAATTCAGATAGTTTGTATGATATGCTAGCATTGTGTATACTCGATGGAAGCCATAGATGTGGATAGGTATAATCTCATACATGAAAAGTATCACAATAAGTTACAAATTAAAAGTGAATGGTTAACTACTAATACCATCGAAATTTTTTGTGACCGATAGATCATTGATGGTTAAAAGTTAGTCATTCATTACTAATTGAACTAAGAACTTTTTGAATTAAAATTCACACACTTAAATGGGTCTACTAGACCTCATTTCACCTAATGTATTAAATCGAAGTGGTTAAGTTTAGTAGTGAAATTACCTGTGGGATGACTAAAAATGTCAAAGGGGGATGAATAGACCAATTTAAAATTATAATCAATAAATAAAAAATAAACTTCGGTAGCAGGATTGATATTTGCTTATCAATCTTGAAACATGTTGAACATAAAATAAAGGAAACACAGAGAATTATTTTAAGTGGTAAAACCCCACCTTTGGGGAAAATCCATGGGACTCCTCAGTCCAACACAAATCCACTATAGAACGATTATTATAAGAAGTACTCACACACACTTATCCTAGACACATTCTAGATAATGTTTAACGACTTTTTCGTAACTCAACTTTTGTCACGGGATGATCTTTGACACTTCTTATGTTGAACGCAATACAGGTCACAATTGCTTCAAGCTTACAGGAGGAAAACTGCCACCACGGTCTTGGTGCCCTCAACCATATGAGTCACCGACATGCATATGAACGCATTATGAATGATAAAAGTGTTTGATAAATTACCAAGTAAACATGAAACACTTGATGACTTATTATCTCAAAAATATGCACAACAGCTTTTCCTTAAAAATTCAATATGCTCGAAAACAATTATGATGAAAGCTCACTATTTGAAATGAAAAGACACCTATTTTATTGAAGGTAGGTTTTCTCTAGAAAGAGATAAACCCAAGAGACCACTAATTCTAATCAACTGTAACTCTCAAACCTGATCCAATATGGTCTCTTAGTCAAGATGCCAAAACAGAAGACAAAACCAGTTCAATTATGAAAATTAGTTTTGATTCAATATGGACTCTAAGTGATAACACCAAACAGCCACTCTTTTGTGGAGAAACAATATCTCCTAAAACAAGTAAATTAGGAGATGATCACTATAGGAAACACTAATATTTTAACTTAAATCATAATGGCATTGAAAATAACTTCAACTAGGAATCTTATTGTGACTGCATGATTATGTCATGATTTACCTAAAATCAAGTTTCTCATGTCGATCAAGTCATGCTTCGAAAAACTGGGATTGAATGTGTTAGGCCAAAACTTCCAGTAAACACTGTCACACACTAATTCCCAATCTATACTAGAGTCTAAAAAATATCAATATAATTTTCATACTAACAAATAGTGCGCTTTGCTGGTCCGTTTCACAACATGATAGGATTAGGAAAACAGAAAATTAAAATGATTTCGGAGAAAAATAAAGAAGTGCATAATTGCAAAAGGATGAAGATATTTAAGTTGTGTGTGTGTGTTTTTTTTTTTTTTTCACATCCATAAAGAAAAAGTGATATATAAAGCATTATCTTGTAGATAGGAAATGGGCATCAATAAAGAAATCCAATGATAGACAAGCTTTATGTATTTTATTATGCATCACACTTTAATAGGAATGGGCAGCTCCAAAAGTAGCCGTAGATGATCACTTAATCATGATTATACTCTCTCTCTCTCTCTCTCTCACTGTAATAGGAATGGGCAGCTCCAAGTAGGCGTAGATGATCACTTGATCATGATTATACTCTCTCTCGCTCTCACTTTAATAGGAATGGGCAGCTCCAAGTAGCCGTAGATGATTACTTGATCATGATTATACTCTCTCTCTCTCTCTCTCTCTCTCGTTAAAAAGCACTGTTTATGTACAACACCCACTACCTGTGATGTGACTGCCTTGCTATATACTTGAATGGGAAAAAAAAAAAGTGTAAGATTTTGTCTCCAAAAGAAGAGGGAAAAAAAGTGTTCTTCTGTACTGCGAATTATTCAAATGAGATTCATATGGCTCATCTCAAAATTTGGTAACTGCGAAAAAGAGGAAAGATATTCTCTACAAAATTCGGTAACTTTGGCCGCTACATAAATATCAAATTGAATGGGAAGCTACGAAAAGCTTTATATCATGTGCCTTCGTCTTTCTTCTTTCTTCTCTCTCCTGTCCCTTTCTTTTGCGGACTGAAATCTCCCTCTTTTTCTCTCTCCTCTCTCAGTTATCCTTTTCCTTTTCTTCTTTTAATTATTCATACATCGTGATCAATGTTAGGTCATTATATAGCATTCATATTTCTAACAGCCAGAAAACAAAAAATCAACCTGCATTGTCCTGTTAGGGCCATACCAAAGCAACGAGTGGACAGATGCGAGCATAGCAAGTGGAAAGAATTGTTAGTGTACATTATTTGTCACGTTTTATACTATTAAGAAAGTAAGTTACAGTATAGGCCATGATTATCAAAGCCAACTATCATTATTGTTCATGATCTGTCTTTTGACTAATCATGCAAATTAATATTGCTGTAGCTTGTGGGTGTTTACCTCAGTGGTTGAGGTCTTTGTTTGCAAACACGATGGCATCACTTCGAATCCCTTGTGGGTGTCCCCCTCGCCTTAGAATAAACTGTCGATCGAATCAATATATATATATGTGTATATATATATGTACATATATATATATATTGCTGTAACAGTACCAAGAACTACAAAGCAAAATGGGATCAAAATTTGATACAGGAAAGTATGTAAAACCCTGCTTATCGACAGAGTTTATTTTTTTTTTTTTCCTCCAAGATTTTGCCTTCTACCACCAAATAGGGTCGATAGATTCGGACGCCAACCTAAGAATAATTCTACACACACCCACACCATTTGATGGTACACCACGGAGTTCTCTTAAGCCTCAACAAGGGTCCACACATGTCCCTTAATATCGAGTACCACAGAATGGCATAGCGGAATCTACGTAGGTACTTCAACTGTGACAATCGTGCGTTCTATTGGCCTGTTGGCCAATAATGTCCTTGGAATTTCCTACTTTTAGGAGGAGAAAAACTTACGGGGATAACACTGTTTTGTTATCTCTGATTAATAATATATATTATGTCACATGAAAATGTTATTACACATGTATGTCCGTCCCCTAAGCCCACTCTTTGCCTAGCTAGAGGAAGCTAACTTAGTGCTGCAAGGGTGTAGGCACTAGAGGTGATGGACAGTGACACCATGTTGTATACCATTTTATAAAATTTCTCTCCCAGGTAGAAACATCAGCTATATATGCACAAGAAGTCATAATCGGGCATGATAAATTCATACTAACTCGGATTAGCAAATAGTGAATTTGTATCGACCTCCCGGGTTTTCCAGTATTCTTAGAATTCCCAAATTAAACTTTAAACGGAGCAGAGTTGCAATATTCAGACAGTACCTGATAATCTATACTTTTATATGGCTGATCGTATGACACTATGAAAAAGAAAGAAAAGAAGTACTTTTTCAGTTCCTTTGATTTTCAGATGTAGCCGTAAGGGGAAGCATACCCTACGATTAGAGACTGGGCTTAGGTTAAGCACCAGCCATAAATAAAAATGGCATCTGAATGGAAGGCAATGACAGATACTATTGTCCCCTATTTGCAAGAGCAAAATCTCGAGATATATGTATGCTATGTTGCTCTTGCTAACTAGCTCTCATAAAAATACCAAATCCATAACTTCACACCCCAACCTGGTTTTGAACGAGTCTAATTGCACACTCCTTCTCGAATTCCTCTTTTTATGATGACGAAATCTAAATTTTTTTAAATCTCTTTTCGAAAGGTGGGAGAATCAAATGTATTTTCCTTCTCAATGAACCTCCAACGGGTTTTGAAGAAAATTAAATAAATTTGTATGATATGATGAGATGCAAAATCTACACAAATGTTTTGGTGTCGCCTCATTTTTCATATCTGAACTTACAAAACATGATAAAACAATTGATTTCTTATCCCCAAATTTCCTTTCCCATAAACACAATGGGCCTAAGAAGCTAACGCAATGTGTGATATCCCACAATAAATCTTAACACGAATTGTGGGATGACAGTGGGGTCTCCTATTTTACACACAAAACGAAACTCACTTGGTGGATGAGTTTGCGGTTAAAATGGATATAACTTGTGAATGGAATCGCTTGCCTTTTATCTGAGTACTGCTCCCAAGAGTTGAAAAGGGTGTAAACATTTTTATTGATGAATAAAATTTCACAACAATTGTGGAAATAAAAAATAAAAAATCTTAGCCAACTTAATCGATAACTCTTTTCAAGCTTTATCTCTCTTTGGTTGTTATGAGTTTGTGATCTTAGTTGGGATGATCTATGTCAGAGTTTCTTCTATCTTGCGTGATCGTTAAAGGAGGTGCACCAGATTTTCTTAATTTTGATGTTAAATCACTCTATTATTGTAATGACCTTTTGCGGTAGTGATTTTTCTGACTGAATTATGAATGCAATCCAAAAATTTCTCCAAAAAATTAAAATTTAAAAAAAAAAATAAATCAACTCCTCTTTTAAATGTACATTTTACAAAATTAACAATATTAGTTTAAAATCTTCCGGCCCTTTTTTTTCTTCCTTTTTTTTATTTTTTTATACCAAATAAAATCTTCCATTATTGGAAAGGTCAGATATTTTCTTTTCGAAAGCGAGGACAAAACAAAGGACAGCCAAAAAACAGGATGAATCATTCGCTTATGAATTGGTGAGATGTATCATGAAATTCTTACAAAATTTTGGAATTTTCCACCAATTGGATTTTCCGTTTGCTGATATTTTGTCTAGTGCATATCCACTCAACGACCTTGCTGGTCTGAGTGGTTTTCAATAGCACTAAGTCGATGGGATGCTTAACAAGTCATTGAAGCCGTATGAGGGGAGTTGTCCAAGCCTATCATAGTTATACCAATAATGTTGCAATTATCTTTTAAGAACCAATAATTAATAATAATTCTTGATCATGAATCTTGGTTGATCATGCTCTAATAATAACACCAGCATTAACGGCTTATGCATGACATAGCATTTGACTATATTTGACAAAGAAATCTGGATACAATTTATATTTTAGATTTTCTTTGTCTTTTCTTTTTTTATAAAAGTCGATAGTATTTTATTGATAAGAGAAACATAAACAAGTACAAAGCCACTAAATGATGCCAAATATGGATAAATCTTCTACAGTGATCAAACAAAAGAACAAGTTGAATTGATATGGAGAGAATCACGCATAACCCACAAAGTGATTACAATCCCTCATTCAACAACCAAAAGCATGCCTACTCAAACATACAATACCAATCAGTCGAGCAACTACAGAAACGGGTAATCCGTATGGAAAATCAAAATCTAAAAAGAAATAGTCTCCTAAAGAAAATAAAACACAACAAACTGCTAAAGAGTTCCTAAAAATTATTAGACAAAAAACTAATAAGTAGTACTACCACTCCACATCCTTCTAGGCAATCCGAAGAGAGCCATAGCACCATACTGGCTAAAGTCGAACCCCACGCAACCCGACATCTTCTTGTCATTACAACTCCAGACTCATGTTAAAGGTTAACAACTGAAACCAAATCCTTGTGTACGTGAGCCAAAATACGGCTACTATTATGACGATGACATCGTTTCACAGCAACTGGTTTCCATACCACAAAACAAACTAACAAAGAAGAATAAGGGGGAAAGGGAAGGGGGGGGGGGGGGGGGGGAAGAGGATAGGAGGAGAGGAGAAGGGGAAGGGAGGAAAGTCGCCGACCCCCGCTAGGGTTTTTTTTCTAGTCTTTTTTTCCATAGGATTTTCTCAGAGAATTTCTAAATTGATATACATTGGTTTTCTTGTTTGGATTCATAAATCTCAACTTTAAATTTCATCCAAATAGTTGTAATTAATTCCTAAAATTCTAAGAGAGTCAGAATTTTAAGAAGGGTAATGCTAGGCTTACTATATTTTTATACCACATTGTGTATCTCCTCTCTAATAGAGGTGGAGCCCACCAATACAATGGGGCCCACCTATTATAGAGAGGTTATATACAATGTGGTATAAAAATATGGTAAGCCTAACATTTTCCTTTTAAGAAAATATGACAATTATGTTCACCACCGTCACCACCACCACCACCACATTGCCTTGACCATCACAACCACCACCATCATTGCCACCTCCAACACCCTTGCCACCTCCACCATCCTTATCACTTCCACTACCACCAACACCACCACCTTACCATAGCCATCACCGCAATTGTCCCCACCACCACAATCATTGTCATCACCACCTGCCACCACCACCTCTACTACCACAATCTTTCCGTGGTTACCACCCATTACTATATAGTCCACCCCCACTACCATCCCAACCACCATCGTCACCACAACCATCCCCACCACCATCGTCACCACAACCATCCCCACCACCACCATTACCTCTACTACACTATTGCAAGGTGGTCGTAATTGCGGCAAGGTGGTCGTGATGGCAACAAGGTGTGGTTGTCTTTTATTTATTGAAACTTTCAATAATCTCTTAAAACTTTATAAATAACAACTATTTAGTTGGAAACTATATATAACCTCCATATTCCAAGTCTTTTTCCACATTCAATTTCTAACTTTCTTTGCTTATGAATAGAAACAAGGGATTTGGTGTCTATCAATTTAATAATTCTGACTAGTGGTACCTCTCTTCAATATTTTGACGAGGTCCTAAGTTCGAATCCTCCGTCCCCTATTGATAAAAAAAAAAATTTAATTTTAAATTTTAAAATTTTGATTTCTTTCCAAATTTCAGGTTTTTATTTTTATTTTTTTATCCAAACACATGGGTATTGTTAAAGATAATTTTCTTATTCGTTCCCTTTTTCTTTTAGGAAGATTAGGGTTTAGTATGTCTTGGGCGGAGAGAATAGGTGTCCTTAGTACATTTGGGGCAGTGGGGAGGTGAAAGGCCAATTCCATATTTCAAGGGTGGGGGCTCAGAGAAAATAAATCGTGACATGCAAACACCTGGTCATCTTCGAGCCCGTAAAACCCATTGGATACAAGATAAGAGAGAACATATGGGTGGTGTTGGGTCGTTTGGTCATCAGGACATGGTTCACTAGTGGGGTATTGAGATGTGGGTTTCCATAGGTTGGTTGCGGGTAGGTGTCAAGGGAGGGTTGCGGGTGGGGTGGTGGTTGGGCTTGGGGTGGGTGACGGGTCAGTTCTTTTACATTTTCCAATTGTTATACTATTTTATAAAATTTATTTTAAAATTTTGTATTAGTTTTCTAACCCATGTGGAGTTGTTATTATTTGTGTACTTCTATCACATAATCATTTAAAAGATTAGCGAACACTCTTGTTGACGGAGGGGCTTACATGTCGGGTTTTCGTTAGTTTGGATATGAGTTTGTAGGGCCTTCAAAGATCGAGTACCAATTTGTAATCACCCCCAAAGGTTTAGGAATTTTATGCAGTTAGCCCTAAACTATACAAGCTATGAATAATTGAACACATTTTTTTATTTAAAAAAGCGATAATTGTATTCATAAATTAGACACAATGACCATCAGCCACTAGGGCATATACAAATACCCACAAAGAGGTAATACAAATATGGAAGCATAGTAACCACACATGGTTATTCCATATACAGGCCACATAATGCTAGAGAAATTTTAGCATAAAAGTCGCATTCCTAAACAAACTAGACATGAATCGCAACACCCAAATCTACCAGTACAACTACAACTTTTAAACTCTCACAAGTATAAAAACCAAGTAGAGACTAGAACAATCAAACACCCAACTCACAAGAAGTTGATTCAATTATTACAAAACAAGGAAACAACAAACACACAGCAAC